GACGTTATCAAAATGTATAGAACGGTTTATTCCGGTTAAGGTTAATTTAGTGTTTTGGTTTAGTTTACACGGTCAACTCAAATGTATATAACTCATGTAATCGTTTCCTTTTGCGATTGATGAATGAGAATCACATTTCACAAAAATATCTTTGTTCACAGCTTCTATTATGGTATCAGAGCATTTTTTCCGCTAGCTAGATCTGGTGATTTCACGTTTGAATTCTTCCTTTTTCTCTGCAATTTCACCGATTATTCTTCTCCGTCATCATTGTTTGATCTTCTGCAAAGTCAATTTTGATGGAAATGGTGAAGAAAGGGGGAAAACTGAGGAATCAGAACACGCAACCTGAGGATGAAGCTTCTGCGATCAAATCACGTCACGAATCAGAAGTATATGAGGAATCCGAGGAGGCGATGACTAAACAAAAATATTCTGGGAGATCGGCGAAGCTTGACGGCCATGGATCGTTGCCGAAGACTATGGAATCTATCGACAATATGCACAGTCTGTTCTATCTCTACTCGTCTGATCATCCAGGTTTAACTATTGTTGCTCATACTCTTGATGGAAGTAATTACAACAGCTGGTCTATTGCCATGAGAATTAGTCTAGATGCGAAGAACAAGTTGAGTTTCGTAGATGGATCTATGCCTAGGCCTTCTGAGATGGATTATTACTTCAAGATATGGAGTCGTTGCAACAGCATGGTGAAGTCGTGGATCTTAAATGTTATGAATAAGGAGATTTATGATAGTATCCTTTACTATCAAGATGCTGCTGAAATGTGGGATGATTTGTTCTGTCGCTTCAAAGTGAACAATCTGCCAAGGAAATACCAATTGGAACAGGCTATAATGACACTCAAGCAAGATCAACTTGATTTATCAGCTTACTTCACTAAGAAGAAGACCTTATGGGAGCAGTTAGCTAACACAAGATCACATACTGTGAAGAAATGTGACTGTGATCAAGTGAAGGAACTTCTTGAGGAAGCAGAAACTAGCCGAATCATTCAATTTCTTATGGGATTGAATGACAGCTTCAACAATATCCGTGGTCAGATTCTCAACATGAAGCCGAGACCTGCATTGAATGAAATATATAATATGCTGGATCAGGATGAGAGTCAAAGAGCAGTTGGGTTTACATACAGAGCCTCGCCTATTCCCTCAGCTTTTCAGGCCGAAGCAGTAATTCCAGATCAGAATGCTATCTTAGCTACACAGGGCAAGATTCAGAAACCGAAGTGTTCTCATTTTTCTCAAGTTGGACACACAGTTGACAAGTGTTACAAGCTCCATGGTTATCCACCAGGACATCCTCGTGCTTCAAAGACCAATTCTGTGGGAAACACTAATCTTGCTACCGTGGATCAGATTCAAAGTCAGAATGGAATAGGATCTGAAGGACTGAATGAAGCTATGTCGAATGATCAGATACAACACATGATCTTGTGCTTGAGCTCCAAACTCCAATCTCCTAGCATCAATTCCTCCTGCCTTGCTAAGTCTTCTGCTTCGACTTCAGCCTCTGCACCTTATGTCTCACAAATATCTGGTACCTTCCTTTCTCTTTATGATCATTCCTTCTATGACATGCTAACTTTATCTATAACTCCAGAAACTGAGTTGTCTCTTAGAGCTTGGGTAATAGATTCTGGGGATAGTCATCATTTTATGCATGAAAGGAGCTTATATAGAGAGTATAGGTCCTTAGATAATACTTTTGTGAGACTGCCAAATGGTTTTACGGTTAAGATAGAAGGCACTGGTTTTATTCAATTGACGGATACTTTATCTCTGCATCATGTGCTTTATATCCCTGATTTTAAATTCACTCTGTTGAGTGTTAGCGTTTTGACCAAAACATTGAATTCTAAAGTCAATTTTACCTCTGATGCTTGCTTTATTCAGGCTCTTACTCAGGAGTTGATGATTGGTCAAGGTAGTCAAGTTGCCAACCTTTATGTTCTGCATCTTAATAAACTTGTCAGTCTGTCTTGTTCAGCTATTCCAGGTATTACTACAGTTTGTTCTGTTACAAAAGTTGATATAGAAACTTGGCATATGCGTCTAGGACACCCTTCTATGAGTAAAGCTGAATCTCTTTCTGATGTATTGTTGTTACCGAAACTAAATCGTAATAATAAAGCTTCTGATCATTGTCATATTTGCCATTTGTCTAAGCAGAAACATCTTATTTTTAAGTCTCAAAATCATATAAGAACCAAACCTTTTGAATTGATTCACATTGATACATGGGGTCCTTTCTCGATTTCTACTATTGATGGTTTCCGTTATTTTTTGACTATAGTTAACGATTTCAGTAGGGCTACTTGGATTTATATGCTTCGTCAAAAATTTGATGTTTTGCATGTATTTCCTGATTTTATTCAAATGATTGAAACTCAGTTTAATACGAAAGTTTGTTCTGTTCGGTCTGACAATGCACATGAATTGAAATTCACCAATTTGTACTTGAATAAAGGCATCATTGCATATCATTCATGTCCTGAAACACCTGAGCAAAATTCTGTGGTTGAAAGAAAGCATCAGCATCTTTTAAATGTCGTGCGTGCACTTATGTTTCAATCTGGAGTTCTTTTAGCTTATTGGGGTGACTGTGTGTTAACGGCTGTGTTTTTAATCAATAGATTGCCTTCTCCCGTTCTAGACAATAAGACTCCTTATGAAAAGCTTACATCTCATGCTCCGGATTATCATTTGCTTAGAACTTTTGGGTGCCTTTGTTATGCTTCTACGTCTCCTAAGTCTAGAAATAAGTTTGAACCTAGAGCTAGAGCGTGTATTTTCCTAGGATATCCTGCTGGCTATAAAGGGTATAAGCTACTAGATATAGAGACACACTCAGTTTCTGTTTCACGGCATGTCATATTCCATGAGGACATCTTCCCTCTTGCATCTTCTGGTATCTCAGATGATGTCAAGGCTTTCTTTCCTCATTTTTCTAATCCTGCGCCTATTGATGAACATCTGCCTCTTGTGCAATCATCTTCCGATGCTCATCTTCATCATGATGAGTCATCTTCCCTGGTTTCTGTTCCCTCCGAACTTAAACCAACTCGGCAGAGAAAACTGCCCTCCCATTTGCAGGACTTTCATTGCTATAATAATACTCCTATTAAAACTACTCTTTATCATATGATCAACTATATCTCTTATTCCTATCTATTTGAGCCTTTTCGTGCTTTCCTTAACATCATCACAAATATCCCTATACCACAAAAGTTTTCAGAAGCTAAGAATTACAAGGTATGGAATGATGCTATGGGAAAGGAAATAGGAGCGTTCGTGCGTACAGAAACATGGAGTATCACGGATTTACCGCCTGGGAAAGTTGATGTAGGTTGCAAATGGGTGTTTACAGTGAAGTACCATGCTGATGGCAGTATTGAACGCTATAAAGCTAGGCTCATTGCTAAAGGATACACACAGCAAGAAGGCATAGACTTTATTGATACTTTTTCACCAGTGGCAAAGATGGCGACTGTGAAGATTCTTTTTTCCCTTGCACCAAAGCTGAAATGGTCTCTTCATCAGTTGGATGTCTCTAATGCTTTTCTAAATGGTGATTTAGATGAAGAAATCTACATGAAATTACCACCAGGGTATGCTAAGATTCAGGGGGAATCGGTTTCACCACATGCGGTTTGTAGACTCCACAAATCCATTTACGGTCTCAAACAAGCATCTCGGCAGTGGTTTATCAAATTTTCCTCTACATTGACTCAGTTTGGTTTTGAGAAGTGTCATGGTGATCACACACTCTTTGTCAAAGAGTCCCATGGTCATTTTCTGGTGGTAATTGTGTACGTTGACGATATTATCATCGCAAGTACTGATGATGATGCAGTGATTGAACTCAAAGCCCAGCTCAGTTCTTCCTTTCAACTGCGTGATCTAGGCCCTCCCAAATTCTTTCTTGGTATTGAAATAGCCAGATCAGATGCAGGAATCTCTTTGAATCAACGCAAATATGTGTTAGATTTACTGGCTGACACAGGTTTCTCTGATTGTAAACCATCTTCTATTCCGATGGAGCCGAATCAGAAGATGTCTAAGGATGATGGTACTCTTCTCGACGATACAAAACAATACAGGAAACTTGTTGGGAAGCTCCAGTACTTGACTATCACCAGACCCGATATCTCCTTTGCTGTTGCGAAACTTGCTCAATATTCCTCTGCTCCTCGTGATACTCATCTTCAAGCAGTTCACAAGGTTTTACGATACTTAAAGGGGACTATTGGTCAAGGACTTTTCTATGGAGCGGATCAAGACTTTGCTCTTCGAGGGTTTACAGATTCTGATTGGGGAGCTTGTCCTGACACTCGAAGGTCTGTTAGTGGCAATGCAATATTCATTGGTGACTCGCTTGTCTCTTGGAAATCGAAAAAGCAGCAAATGGTTTCTATGAGTTCTGCTGAAGCCGAGTACATAGCTATGTGTATGGCGACCAAGGAGTTAATCTGGATAAGTCAGATACTCAAGGCTCTTCGTGTTCCATTCTCACCTCCCGCTTATCTGTACTGTGATAACACAGCTGCTCTTCATATAGCCAGCAACTCTGTTTTCCATGAGAGGACTAAGCACATCGAATTTGATTGTCACAAAGTGAGAGAAGCGATTGATGATGGTGTTATCAAGACCATGTTTGTTCGAACAGACAATCAACTTGCAGATGTGTTGACGAAAGCTCTATATCCAGCACCATTTCGAGATATGATGAGCAAGATGGGTGTACATAATATTTTTGCACCACCTTCATCTTGAGGGAGAATATCAAAATGTATAGAACGGTTTATCCCGGTTAAAGTTAATTTAGTGTTTTGGTTTAGTTTACACGATTAACTCAAATGTATATAACTCATGTAATCGTTTCCTTTTGCGATTGATGAATGAGAATCACATTTCACAAAATATCTTTGTCCACAGCTTCTATTAGACGTATTTTAGTTTCTGTTATCTGAATACAATATGTTGATTCCAGGTTGGATGTTGAAACTCAACCAAACCGTCATGCTGTGCTTGGAGCTGCCAATTCCCGTCCGGATCTGGTATGTCCACTCCTGAGATGTGTGGTTGCAAATCATTGCTTGTGCTTCATTCTTGTTTGTCTTAATTTCCTCATTGGAAATGATGTATCTTAACCATTTTTTTTTTGCCTACTTGCACTTCTCGCGTATTTGTTGTCATGTGTCCTTTACAAACTGGTCTATGTTTCTGTATTTGTTGGCAGGTGTGGGACATGAGCTCTCATCTTAATGCTTTAGTGGAGTAAGAAACAGAAGGTAAAGATGGAACTTCACCGGTTCATAACCAAGCACCTTTGGTTAACTTTTCCGGCACAAAAATGTAGGCTATGCTGCTATAGATTGGAGTCCTGCAACTGCTGAAAGACTTCTTTCTGGTATAGTTATCTCAAAAATTTCTGCGATACTCAAACACAGTTACATGCGTTTCAACATATCAATGGGTATTTATTATTTTCTCCACCGGTTTGGGGACTGCGACAGTAGGATTCATTTGTGGGAGCCAGCTTGGGTTGATCATATTCCGTTCATCGGACGCACTAACAGTGTTGAAGATCGACAAGTAAATCTGTCACTTTGCAGCTAAATTGTGTCTCTACTGCTAGATTCTCCTTATTGGCTGAACATCCTTTTTCTTTGTTCCAGTGGTGTCCAGCTGAAGCTAACGTGTTTGCGTCGTGTTCTGTGGATGGGACTGTTGCAGTTTGGGATGTCTGAGCTGGGAAGTCGCCTGCAGTAGCTTTCAAGGCACATAAGGCAGATGTGAATGTCATCTCATGGAACAGGTTCTTCCGCGACTTTGATGTGTAACCTTATTCTTCTTGGTTTTGTATTACCCGCAACTGGCTCATTCATTGTACTTACTCTTTCATGAAGGCTGGCTAGTTGCATGTTGGCCTCAGGGAGTGATGACGGGTCATTCTCTATCCGTGATCTCAGACTAATCAAGGTGCGTTAAAGACCATCATAGCTTTATAGTGTCCATATCAATATATCTTAACAAGATTCTGATGTGATAGTATTGGAATCTTGTTAATTACAGAGTAACATTCTTGAATCACTGTATCTAATATATAAAAAATAAAGTCACATATTCTTATTTATGCAAGAGCCTTTTTGGGAAAGGTGTATTTACAAGATCCATGGCGTCATGCTTCAAAACAAACTTCATCTCCTGAACGTAAGTCCTTTTTTTATAATCACTTTGACAAGTTCTGTCTCGAAATTGTGAATTTTCTAACAAGTTATTCTGGCAGTGCCTTCTTACACCATAAACTGCCGTAACTGTGGCCATGGAACTGATCTAAGAGGATGCCCTCAATCTCCAATGGTCATTGAAGGTATAATTAAGCACTTGTGTTTATTTAATTTGTTGTCTCAAAAGTACCAAAATAAGTCTTGAAACCAAGTGCCAACAAATGTTTATTTTCAGGTAAATCAAATAATTGCAGCTCATCAGATGCTGTAAACAAAGTGAGACAACAGATGGTAGAACACATCGGTTTATGGTTGTCTGAATGTCACGGATCAACTAGGAGTTCTATGTAGAGTTGCATCGTATAGAAGTCGCGGTTTGGTTGAAGACAAACAACAGTATACACTCTTTAGTCTATACTACTGATTTGTGAACCAAACTTGAATGAATATTGCCAACCTAAAGCAGTCACACGGTGAACACATTTGAGGTCATTTCTATTTGTGTAATTATTTTAGCCACAAGCAGAAATGATGCAGTTTTTGTATTTAGTATGGTAAGTAGTACTTTTTTGGGGGTCAATGTAAGTAGTAACTTAGTAACTATACTAGTTACTGTATGTGACATTGTTAAAATAAGTTATGCAAATATATACCATAGCTTATAAGTTTTTTTCATAATAGTAAAGATTGCTTGTAAAAGTCCTTTTAGGTTTTAACTGTCTTTAATCCGGTTCACATTTGGTTTAGTTATAGAAAAAGTGAAAAACTGATTAAACCTCATTGTTTTGTAGAATATATTGTCAGTTTTATGCATTTGGGCAGAATTGTTCCTTTCTTTAACATATTTTTGCTACTCATGTAATAGGTGGTCTTTAATTGCATGTGTTGGCGAACAATTTTGTATATTATCGACATTTTTTAAGGTTTAGTATAATTATAAATATACATCGTTGTTGTGGTTATATTACTTCGTATAATATGTTATGATAAAATTAAATAAACTGCTTCGTTTAATCATAGAGTGGGTTCTTGTCAATCCTTGTCGGACGAATAAATATGTAATTATGCTTGGGATCTCATTATTTATGTCTTATTATAAAAAGCAAGACCGTTGAATTTAAATTCGTTCTTGTTGCACGAATGATCGATTTTCTTTTCTTCAAGAGACAAACAATCTATATTTCCGTTAAACTTGTAAACTTTCTTTTTTGTTAAATTTCAATAATAATAAAGGCATGGAAATGATGATTCGTAATTTCATAATATTTAAATTGTTCGTTAATTTATATGATCATATTGGAAATAATCCACCACATCCAACTAAAACATAACAAGGAAATAGTTTTGTTTTCTTCATTTTAATATATTTGTTACCTGGTTCAATTAAAACATTTCTCTCCCACACAAATTTTATTCAATATTATTCTGTTAAATTGTTTTTTTTATTTTGATATATTCCTCTGGTTTCTATCATTCGAAGTCAAAGCTATTTATTTCACGTTACAAATGCATGTGTGAGCCTATTTATATTTGATAAATACATTTAACAACGACATCCTAGTGAGATAGCTCATGTTACATCGACCTATGATCAATCTATTAACTCAATAAAGTCTGATTATAGGATGTATGCTAAACATCACACATTAGCAACTGATTCTTTTTTTTTGGGAGTATATATGGAGACGAAATGTAAAAGATTATAACGTGACATTTTCATCTTTAAGTTTAGTCGGTTGTATTGTACGTATTACTTTTTATCTGTAATCATGGATTAATTTGTCTTATGCCAAAAATAGGGAAATTTGCATTACAATGAAAATAAGTTTCCAGGACAAATATAATAGAGAAGTTAAATTTTTTCTACCCCTAACATTTTTCGTTTGAGTTTTCTGATTTTAGAAAAATCTTTTTAAATGTTTTTTTCTTCTGTTAATGTTGTGTGATTTATTTAGGAAGGTCTTTTAAATACTAGAATTTAACATCGTTTCATATGGTTTAGGAAAGCTTTCCTAAATTTTTTAAAATTTCCTGAATTGTGGAAGGACTTTCTGAATTGTGGAAGGGTTTCATAAATTGTGGAAAGACTTCCTGAAAAGACTTATTGAATTTAAGTTGTACTAGGTATTTTTCCGTACTTTGTGCGGGGTTCGATTAAATTTTAAAAAAAATTAATAATATTAATTTATTTATAGATAAAAAATCAGATTTTATAATTATTCGAAACCAAAATTAATATATTTGAAAATACAATTTTTATGAGTACATTGTTTTTTTTTGTGACAGAGCAAAATATATTATTTATATCTTTTTAAAAATATTTTTTCTACAATCTGATTAAAACTTATATGTATGTTTTGTTGTTTTGTTGCATCTATCAAACATGATAAATAATTCTCTTCTTTTGGTGTAAATTGGCAGATTAAAAATAATAAAATTCAAAGTTTGCATAAAAAAAACATAACAATCTAAAATGACCAAAATCAAAAGATCATTGTTTCATATCAACTTAACATTAATTAATATATATAGAGTTTTAAAAGGGTTTAAAAGATTTAGAGTTTATGCTAGTTTATTATCAATTTGTTTTATGCTAGTTTATGCTAGTTTTTTATGCTAGTTTATTATCAATTTTTTGTGATTTATGCTAGTTACTTTTTTTTAGTAAACTGAATATTTTTATGATATAAATTCGAATTTGGAAATCTAGATCTAGAAAAAACAAAAATCAATTAAAAATTAGATTATATAAATTTGGTAATTTCATTAAGGGTAAATCAAGACTTTTCACATGGAGGGCAAAAGGTAATCAACCATCATAACTCTTAACCACAACTCAACTTGCTTGCCAATTAATAATATGATAAATTAACAAAAATAATAATCAATTATACGATTTACGAAGGCATTCCTAAATACATTAATAACTTCCTTAAATTATATATTTTAGGAAAGTCTTCCTAAGACTTTATAGTATCTTCCTGAATTTATGTTCATCTCCTTCCTCGCCTCTGCGACATCCAAACCCTAATTTCTGCCGATTTTTTTTTTTTTTTACCACTGTTGTTGTTTTAGCTCGGGTTTCTTGAGTTTTTCATCCAATTATATCAGATCAATCTATTGTTATATGATTTTGAGCTTTAAATCCTGAAATCACTTTCCCATCAAAAAAGTCCCAAAGATCTAAGAGATTCACAATCACAAATCACAATCAAATGAGAAGAGCGATCCAAACCAAATAAATGATTCGAATTTCAGATCAGTCTTGGCCATTGATACATTTGTTTGTACATTATTTTTCTTCTCTTTTTATTAAGATTAATATGGTAATGGAAGGAATTTTTTATAGTGTTAGTGTATATATGGAACAAAAACTTAGATTGGATGCATTTGAGGAAATTTCTCTATATTTTATATGTCAAAATTTTTAATGATATATCCTAAATTAATATCAACAAAAGAAAACGTTAAAAAAAGTTTTCTGCAAATTAACTTTTCAAATGTATTTCTTTAGCAAGTTCAATCCACGAAAACTACAGGTCAATTTTTCGATATCTCAATTAAACTACAAATAACAATATCATTTAGAAATATTAAACAATGTGTTTTCGTCTAGTAAAAACGGAGTTTTAATCTCAGATGCCCTTCCATCTGAAACACAGATCTGATATATTCCCCTTTTAATTTTATTTCATCTTCATTTAATTTTAATTCAAAAAACTATTAAAATTACTTTAAACCCTACTCAACTAACAAGATTTACAATTATCTTGGATTCTACCAGTCCACCCAACTTATATCGGATCTAACAAATTCTCCTAAAAATCTCTAACCCAAAATCAGTCGAAACTGTTCGCCTCAAACTGCTCCAAACTGCTCGTCGAACTCCCTCCCTCATAACACCCGAACCTCCTCTCAATTTCCAAAGAAAACCGCTTCCATCCTCTCTTTTGAACTCAATCCGCCGATTTAATGGCCAGGACAAATTGGACAACAAAGAGGAAGAAGAAGAAGATTGCTGCTGAAGATGCAAATCCGCCGATTGCTGAAGTGGACAAGAATAAAAGCAGTTCGGATCCGCCGATTAATGCGAATTTGAGAAGGAATGATGAGCTTGGATCTACGTTTCCCATTGAAGAAGAGGGGGAAGGAACTAGGGTTCCCATTGGCGAAGAGGAGGAAGGATCTACGGTTCCCATTGGCGAGAGACTTGAAGATGACAATGAAGAGAATGACGACGAAGAGACTGAAGAAGAAGGAGAGGAGAATGAGAAGGAGAATGAAGAAGAAGGAGAGAATGGAGAGAGTGACTATGAAGAAGAAGACGACAATGAAGAAGATGATGGAGAGGAAGAAGAAGATGGAAGTATTGTAAGTATTTCGATTCATAGTTAGGTAGAACCATGGGAAACTAAATTGTTTTTGTTAGGTAAAACTAGGGAAAACTAGTATAACTAGATAAAACAAGTCTTTGTTACATGTAGTACTAGTATAACTAGGTAATACTAGGATTTGTAGTTGTTAAGTAATACTAGTATAACTAGATAAAACTACTCGGTTGTTACATGTAATACTAGTATAACTAAATAATACTAGAATTTGCGGTTGTTTAAATAATACTAGTATAACTACATGATATATAACTAGGTAATACTAGTATAACTGAAAAACTACTCGGTTGTTAGATGTAATAGATAATACTAAGATTTGTGGTTGTTTAAGTAATACTAGTATAACTAGATAATACTAGTCAGATTTTATTTGTAATACTAGTATAACTAGATATAACTAGTCGGATTTTATTTGTAATACTAGAATTACTTTGTACAACTAATCGGATTTTATCTATAATACTAAAATAATTTGGTACAACTGAAGCACTTCAACCTATGAAAAAGTACTTCCCACCGACAGAGTATAAGAATAAAATTAAGATATCGACAAGGTGTTACATCTATGAAGCTTTGACAACGCTGGACAATTTGAAGCCTCTGCTCACACCTCTAGAGAAGTCATGGTTTGAGAGTCATCCGCAATTCAAACACATTTTCCACTTGCCAAGGGACAAATATCACCAGCTTATGGGCATGTGGATGCTATTTCTTCGAACAACATGCATAAAGGAAGAAAAGAAGCTTGGTTTGTCGTCGTGTTCCTATCCGTTATGGGCTGAGGGAACACGCCCTGATGTCAGGATTTGACTGCCGTAACTATCCAGTCAATTATATCCGAGATGGCAGTATGGACTTTATCAAGAGGCATTTTGAGCTATCAATAATCAGATATCAAGACGTGAAGGAAAAGCTAGAGGAAATAGATTCTGGTCGAGATAGGTTGAAGATGGTTGTCCT